AAACATTTTTATTTTAGTTTAAGATGCTTAACAAATCTTTTTATTTATATAATCTTCTATTTTCCCCACCAAAAAGTGCCATTTGAAAAAAATACTTCTTGTAGATTATTTAATATTTATTTTCACCTTCCATTTACTTGTTTTGCCATATTATATTAAAAATATTTTTTTATTATTATGATGGAAATATTTTTATTACAAACATGTATAAAACTATTGTTAGTGTATAAATGGATTATTATATATTATTTATTGTAAATAATACAAATTTAAAATCTTAGTCGATGCACATAAAATCAAATATTCGTAATGTGTCATACTAATTTGTTAATAAGTATTATTTATTAAGTTAAGCACTTTGTTTTTTTTTATTTAGTTATTAATTGAATTTATATTTATTTCAATCATTATTATCCTCATTAGATTATATAATTTCATTTTTGTTTCGTATTATTAATTCTTTTATTGTTTCCCTTTAAGCCCCCATATATTATCATGTATTACTTCATTAATTATCACATGAGTATTTATGTTTACATCCATTGCTTTTTATTGTATTATTTTTATTAAAAACAAAAAAAAACATGAAATTTTTAACGAATTTATAAGTTTTTTTTTTTTAGTGTTGATATTAATATTGTAAAAATATTTAGACAACCTTCTTCGCCCTTACGAAAATATATGGTGTATCATTCATTGTTGCTTGCTCTGCTATGGGGTGTTTCAAGTGTTTGGTTTTGTCATGTCCAAAGGGCGATATGTTTATTATCATATTTTTGTAAGTGTCAATGTACTAACTTGGGAATCCATTTATATAAATTTAAATTTCATTTATGCTTTGGATTATTTATATATATGAACATGCGCTTATGTACCTGTAAGTACTGTCACAAAGTAAGTATTTATTTTATTTTATTACCCGTGAAATTATTGAAAAAATGTATTTAATTATTGATGTATACCTACTTAAATATACATAATATAATATTAATAGCAAGATTTTGGGTTGTTCGCGCATGCTTTTGTGGTTGCTCCTAATTAAAAAAATGTTTTAAATATATTCGAGTTGTGCCTGCACTATGGGTCATATTGGACTAACTAATCACGGGGCATAATAAATAAAAAAAAATTGTTCATGTATATATGCGTGTGCGTATATATGTATATTATAGTTTTTGGATTTTCGATCGAAAATGATTTTTCGTGTTGATCATTATTCCTCTTGTTGTGCGAAAAAAATTTTTTTTAATTAGAATAAATTACAGCACGTTTTTAGAGTTAAACAGCCATCGGTGTGAAGCACAGCTCGATCTATATTGTAGGCGTAATTGCAATTTATTATTTCCTACAGACTTCATGTTTGCCATCACCGGCACCACTCTCGATAACTCGACGACTGTGCGTTACGAGTGTCCGAAATGTAGCCGAACATACAAATGGAGGAGCTCGCTTAAGAGTCATCTGCAAAATGAATGCGGCAAAGAACCCCGATGCTTGTGTCCTCATTGCCCCTACAGGTGCAAGGTTCGGTCCAACCTGTTAAAGCACGTGCGCAATTATCACAAACCTCCGACGTCTGTAGTACAAAACTCGGTGTTCGAAGACCAGAAAGTCGTACACCAATAATAGAAGAATGCTCAATTATTATTATTATATTACTATAATAAATATATATATATTATAGGATATATATTTTATTTTTATCTTTTACGATCTTTTAGTGCCAAATTTTACTATTATATTTTAAGTTTGTCTGATACTATGATAATTTGATATTTTGTATGTATAATGTTTATTTTTTGTTATAGTCAACAAATATTACAAATTATCTACTTAATGAATAATCTATTTTTTGGGACTGAACTTAATGATTACGTATCAACAGATCTTACTTTTTTTTATTGCGTGTTATTATGATTTTTAGAGTTTAGATTTTTAGTTTTTTTTAAGCTATAAACTGGGTTGTACAAACTATTTGGCCATATTATATTATATTGGAGTTTTACTTAAGCTTTATACTCATTTATGTTTTGATACTTAAGCGTTGTTCAAAATATACACTATTCAAATATGTTATTTACTCAATAACAGGTACAATTTCTGTAAAACATTTATAGAATACAGTACTCTATCCTCTATTTGCTCAATAAATCTTAAAAACACAAAATTCTAAGGTAAGTATTTGTGTTACTAGATGTTTTGTTTTAGATATTTTTTGTGTTGTACTAGATGAGAAGTTTTTGTGTTCATTTTTAGTTGCGTTTTATTTATTTTTTTTTTTGTATACTTTTATTTTAGTCTAACCATCCGTAGTAAGTACGATTTTATTCCGACTGAATAGGCACGAGTTCAATATTCCAGCACGTAAGTAATACATCGTATTATGACTATACATACTTAAGTCTTCAGTGAAGATATTTAAATTGTTAGAATGTTAGGTAAAATAAAATAAACGTATTTTAATCAAACATATAATATATTATTAAAATATAAAGATCAAATAAAATATTTTTAGATGTAGGAAGTGATAATAATCTCCATTTTATTATAGCTTAACTATTTTATGTATAAAATTCAGTTTAAAAAAGAAATCTATTATTTTTGTAATTTGTAGGTACATAATACATCTACATAATATAATACAGGGCCTAATATATTTTTTTATTTTATGGTAGACTTATATTAAATCATAAGATTGTAGGAATATGGAATATTCCCGATAGTAAATTAATTTTAGGTGTACCTGACCATGGTTTTGCGTATTGTACTTATTAAATTTGGTTAAAGTTGTATTTTATATTACTATAAAATATAAATGTAAATATCATCAAGTCATTCCTTATTTATGAAAACTTTAAAACGGAAAGTAATTTATTCCTATCTAAATCAAAAACTGTTAGGTCACATCCGTATAGGTACTAAGTTGTTTCTTCAGCTTGCAAATGGACAACACGGCAAATTTGTATTCGTTCAAATTTTGTGTCTTAAGTTGTAATATTAGAGTAAATTCATCTATTAAAAAACTTAAAGGAAATTCAGTAATAACATTAGGTCTCTAGCTGTGTTCTCTTGTTGTTTTTTACGATATTTTATTGAATACTTAAGTAAATTATTAAAACTTAAAAATGATCATAACTCAATACACTCAAATACATTTAATCTAACAACACAAAATTGGAACTGCTGAATGTAAATTACACGTAAACTACAACACATACTGCAGGTATTACGATATCTTCTTAATTCGTTGGTCCTATATTCATAAACGACGTTTAATTTTTGGTATCTAATGATTAGAAAAATCTAAGCTTAGTCTCAAAACTCTGTATAAATTACATAATGTTTGGAGGGCCTGAATTAAATATTGAATATGGGCTTAGCCCCTCCAAACGATCAAAACCCCTTCCTTTTAATTGTGCCAATAGATGCCTATATGGCTATTTAATATAACTAGTAAACTAGTGTTATAAATAAATGAAGATTTAAATTATAAAAGTAAATACTGTTTTAACAAATAAACAAAAAATAAAAATTTATTTTGTTATAGACGTTACTGTTTGACTGGTTTACTTTTTAAAAAATATTTCCTACATTTCATACATTGTATAAAAAAGTAATATCAGCGTAGGCAATAGCTGATACAATTTCTATAGTAGGTTAGAGGTACCTACCGATGTTAAAAATAAATATGATTTTCATTTAATATTAAACATAATAAAATCACTATTCTATCTAATTGTATTGTATTCTAGAATATTGAACCTTAAGGATAAATTTAGTTCAAATTTATCTTAAGACAACATGAGTCGAGAGAATGATGACGTGTTTAGGGCAAAATAAATAATTGCTCATCATCCAATTTATTTATATTGACATAGTTGGTTTGAACTCTATGGAGTATGGACTCAATAAATTATTTTATATAATATGTATTTAGTATCCTGTTGATGTTTATTATAAACAATTAACTTAGTAAGTTTATTCTAGCGATATCTATCATGTCGGTGTAAATATTTGTGTTCATGTGATGTAATTTAAAGATGGGACAAATCGTAAAATGGTACCATACGTAAAACAATTAAAGCCAATAAAATAAATAATTAATGTTACATTTTTTGCTTCTAATATTTGTAGTACCTATATGATGCAAAATATTTGCAACAATAATACCTATATTTTATATTACAATAAATTGCATTTTAAAATTATGTCTATAAGGTTAGATAGGTACTTCGATTTACTATATTTGAATAATTGTATCAAGTACATTATTTTCTATACATATTTATTTCTTCAAATCATAATCCATTATTGATTTATATTTTATACATTTAATCTAATATATATCTATACCTATTACCTACGGGTCTACGGCCTACCTAAAATTATATTGACTCATGATACTTATTATTTCATAGTTACCTTATTTATAATTATTTAATCATGTGTAGGAATGAAACGATTGTTTCAATTCAATTTGAACAATTGCTAGAAAACGGTAACTAGTGAATGAACAAAAATATTTAATATAATTATTAATTAATTGGAATACGTAACTCCATTAGAGCCATCTGCATCAAATTTGAAATTATTGAAATATTTAACTTAAAAGTTTTATTGGTAAGATTAGGTCTTCCGGGAAGGTAACTTGAAAATATTCCGTGTTTAGAAGAGTTTGTTGAGGAGGGGGAGGGTGTGCGACTTTGTTATGCGCCAAAGACGGTGTTGTCTGAAATTCCAGAAATATATTGGTGTAGACTTTGCGTATTTACTTGCATTCAGTTGTATTCTTACTTTATCGGACTGAATAAGCTACAAAAATAGCAATGAGGCTCGTTTTGTTATAGTTTAGTGTAAATGTTTGTACTATAATTACGATAATATCGTTTATTTAAAAATGTTAATATAATACATATGTGCCAATATAATAAAACTCATGTTTGGCCGTTGGCCTCGATATTATGACGTGTGAGATTTACCTGACGTACCGATGGTTTCAGATTCAGACCTGCTGGCCGAGAAGTTCGAGTGTAAGCTCTGCGGCAAGGTGTACCAGTGGAAGCAGAGCTTGAAGAGACACATCCGGGAGGACCGCTGCGACAAGGGTCCGCAGCACGCGTGTCCTCGCTGCGGCATGAGCTTCAAGCACACCAGCCGCCTGAACAAGCACGTCATCCTGTGTCCGCACATCCTGTTCGACGACAGCCCTTCGTCCTCGGCGTCCACGTCGTCCACGTCCAACGTGCAGCGCATACTCAAACTGCCGCCGCCGTGTCCGGACGCGTTGCCCATCACCGCCGTGTCCACGTCCACCACCTCGACGTCGTCGCCCTCTCAGACGATACTGGTGTTGCACCTGAAAAACCAGAGTTTGGCCCAAAACTGGAATTCTAAAATCCAGAAACTGGGAAACTAGAACAAAAACGTATTTCGTATTCAAATATTCATTCATGTGTGCTCGCGCGTGTATTTGTCTGTGTGGCCCATCAAATTTGTGTATATTTTATTCAAAAAGTTTTTTTTTTAATTTTTTGATCTTCCACGTATATCATCATAATTTTTATATTATTGACCACACTGATTATAATAATATCGCTGGTCTTACCTTCATCTAAAGGCGCAGATTATTATTATTTATTATTATAATATAACAGAGTATATTATTATATAATACCTATGTGCGTGGGCGAACTCGCTTAGGGATATAAAACAACAACAAAAAACTATTTATATCGTACACAACATAATTTTATTACATAATACAATTATTTTGCTATACGATTATATGTATTATTTTTGCTAGTCAAATATGGAACAACGCAATCTAGTCATTTTTTTTTTCGTTTTTCGTGCAATTCATTCGTGCAAAGAAAATCATATGTTTTATTTTTATTATTCGTAGTGTGTGTGTTTAATGAATACTGATTTTTTTTTTTAATTTTACTTAGTTTTATTGTATAGGTACTCGGGTTATTGTACCTCAGAATGTTTGTAGACATCGAATACATTATATAGTCATTAGATAGTAAGATTGAATGTAAGACTAAAGTTCTCTCCTATCAACAAAATAATATACGGTGAAGAGATATCTTTCTATTTATATCAATATTTTTATTTATACGTTCGTCTGATTTGAAATGTATCTAGTCAAAAATAATTATTTACTTTAATTTAATTTTACATTAATTATATTCGTGTACATAATATTATATTATATCATTCATTTTTATTCTCAAAAAAATACAACAAAACATTTGCCAAACGTATAAACCTATTTTATTGATAGTTGAAACTTGAAACCGCATAACAATAGGTGTAGTCAACAATTGAACAATATTGTATTATAGACATAGTATTATAAAGTGACGTAAGAGAGCACTTTATCATTATAATATTGTTGATGGGTTCGTACAGCACAATATTAAACTTAGATGGTTCGATTTAATACGTTCCATTTGCATTCTATGTTACCAAACATGCCGAGTGAATTTGTATCATAATATTGTCACTGGATCTTATAGGTATATATATTATACCAAAGGCAGACACGAATTTACTTTTTAAGATAATTGTCACATAAATGTAAATTGTATTTTGATTTTTGTTTTTCTATTCTAATTTCAAAAAACGCACAAAACACAAACACAAATATTACATACTGTGGAATATTATGATTATTTTAGGGTTAATGATTTTAAGTTTAATCAACAATATTTTGTGTGCCGTGTGTGAATACGATCATAGGTATATGTTATTTAACAACTATTCTTTCAAGTTTTTTTTTAATATGATAATTTTTTAACGATTAAACAATTATAGGTAATTGGGTAGTGCAAATAAAATTGTTCGTGTATCATATGCAGTTATACCTGTAACCCTGTTCATAAATTGGTATGGTATATGTGTGCGTATCGGAAGGAGGAGTGGGTAACTATTTATAGGCCAGCAGTAACGTTAAATTTCCAACAAACCCCGAGAAGATTGCCCTGTGCGTCGTCCATAATATTCATAATAATAATAATTATATACTCAATATTTATGAGATTACTGTTTGTGAATTCAAAAATCAAAATTCCGTGACAAATGTGTAGATGACGTTAGGTATACCGCAATTACTTTCTGTAGTGGTTTTCGGGTCGATCGTCCGAAGTGGGTGGCCCACTTGTATCGGGGCCGAACACTTTCGGCGGTGGTGCAAAATAAAACTAGACGTTTACGTTTGCGCCACCTAATAGACATATTTATGGTATACGCCGCCGGGTGGGTTTCCTGACGAGTCTCGAAAACGCGGTGACGCGATCGAACGCCTTTCCAAACTCAATACTACACCTTGTTGAGACTATTCGTCGTCGTTTTCTGATGGACAAATAATAGCACCATCTCCCCTTGGATACTTCTATAACATTTTCATTTTTGTTTTTACTCTATTGAAAACTACTACTGTTGTAGTTTTAATATTATAACAAAATTCACACTCAATAATTTGTATGCGACATGATGCGTATATGTGACACTGACACACGACTGTTGTAATATGATAATTTTTTATGTGAAGGATTTCTTTTGTTTTTATAACTAACTCATGTTGTGGATAAAGCATAGTCATTTATTTGTATTTGTATTTTTTTTTTGTTTTTATTTTTAATTATTATTTAGTGCAATGAAATTGAGTTCCTTGATTAGTCATGACCTTTATATAGCAATTACAAAAATAAAACTACTTATATAATTATGTAAGTGTAATACCTCTACTTAACGTGGCGGTCTATGAATCTAGTCAGGTACGAGCACAAAATTAATATTATTAAAATGTATATGATGTGTATTTATAAAAATTATATATGAATGATTAACAAGTTTCCTTATTTCATTTTGTTTTTCTAGTCCATTTTGTCGCTTAATAATAATATTTGTCATCGATACCTATAATATAATATCAATTAAATTATAATAGTATTATTATATAATATACAATATATTTTTTCGTGTGCTGTTCATGTTCCGTTGGACATGCCAATATTATTATTATTATAATTATATTATATCTAAATTATGTGTACATATTATAAAATATTCAATTATTAATTTTATACAATCGTAATAACGCGCATAATATAATATATATAATATACTATGTGTGTATTATATTATATATACGAATATAAAAAACAAACTACATAATAAATACATATATATATGTAGGTGTAAAATATGTAATTATATTCTGATCGACCAATACCAAAATATAATTATATAAGTTCGCATGTTCTACCTAATTTAATTTTGCGTTGGTATAGTTATTTCATTTAAGACTAAAGTATTGATTTTTAAACGCAGGTACCTTGTATTAAAAATGTAACAATCAATATTAATAATATTATATGTTTTGAAAAGAAATAGTCGATCAGTACGAATTATTCCTTACCAGGTATCCTCATTTTGGTAAAGATAGGTAAACGGACCAAAGGAATGGCTGAATTTTCGTCAATTGGGGAAGCAGATATATTTTCATAAGTAAAATTTTATTATGTAGGTGCCTATACTTGGTATTACCTATATTTGGATTTTGGTTTTATTCCTCGAGTTGTGCCGTAACACGAATACGACGTTTGGCCGATCTAACTTAACTCACATTAAATTGCTTGGTCAATTAATACGTATATTATGCTAAGTTATACACTTTCCAATGTAAAGTATTGTAGCGTGGTTTTTCGAGGTGTACGACGCTGTCATTTTGTACGTCGTTATTTCTTATAATGTGTATAGATATTTCTGGAGCTAAAACATGACGCGAAGACAAAACCGGCATATATATACAAATATACAATGAGAAAATTAATTTTCGGTGCGGAAAATTGTCTAACATATTTTATAATATTATAAATGATGTACGGCTGTTCGGCGGGATACCCACTAGACCACGTCACGAAAAAATGCGCCACGGGGAAGTTACAAAAAAACGCTGTTATAACCAAGTCGTCCATCACAACCCGGGCTTGTTCCGTCTCTTATTTATATTACAATACCTACTAATGCTTGTCTTCGGTTGTGACTATATAATTGAATAAATATTGTTTCGGTGGACTCGACACACAAGACCAAACGATGTTTTTACCTTACGCTAATCGCCACCGTGTTTTGTTTCAGGGCGATTGCATCACATTTGGATTTCCAAATGTCCGTACTGCCGGATGGTAATCTGTACGGAGTTGGAAAACCATTTGGGTTCGTGCGGCGTGTTCGGCACGCTTAAGACTTACGTGGCGGCCAGGAGGACACTGCCTTAAGTCACGACCCCGCACCGCAGTCTTCTTTAAATATGTGCAGTTGAACCTCCCCTAACGGACACCTCCGAAAATCAGACGTTTTTTTTGGCAACACACCACTAACTGTACCTTTTGAATAGCGGACAAAATTTCAGTCACCGAGTGTGTCCGGTATTTAGAGGTTTCACTGTTTATAATTAAACCTATTTTTCAGTAGGTACACTGTTCTTTCGTTACATATACCACTATAGTATAGGTATATACTATACCTATATACTTGATGCAGGGTTGAGGATTGCACTGAAATGGGTCAATTATGTGTATATTTACTATTTAGCCATTATTTAGGTACCTTTATTTATGTTGTTTATTTTGCCAGCTTGACGAATACATTACTGTATAGGTAGGTAGGTATGCAATGTATAATATAATGCCGTTATACGCAACGTGATTATATACGTATTACATAGATACCTCCTATCTATTTATTTCTGATGGATATAATATGTAACACACTGATATTATATTTATTAGATTATAAGTCAAATATAGAACTGTATAATATTATATAAAACCCGGTGCAGTATGTGGGTGTCGCAGCTGCAGTTCTTGAATAATTGCTGCAGCTAACTGGTGCAGGTGGGTAAATTAATATTATTGTTATTATTTTGTTGTTTTGTGTATTTTGTCGCTTTTTTTTTAACGATACCGTTGTAGGTATACATTTTATTGTTCGGAGTTTTTTTTATTATTATACTGTTGTTGAGATCATATAATGTTACATTTTTGCTTGATCGTCAATTTCCATTTTCCTACGTTGGCTCAAGTCACCATCACACTATACCTACCTTCTTCTTATAGACTTTTCTCCTCCGCCACTCTCCATCTCTCTTCTGTATAGTCTATACCATGTACCGCATAAATATCATAATACAATGTTTTAACCGTAGGTATTATGAATTATAATAATGACCTGCTCCCTGCAGCTGATGTGGTATGCATATTATAATTTCATTTCGGTTTTTTTCTTTTACAGACGATAAGAATTGGTCGTGCAAAACGTGCAGTAAATGGTACAAGCACAGAGATTCACTGCGTCGGCACATCAGAGACGAGTGCGGAAAGATGCCCCGTCACCAGTGCAACATTTGCCAGGCGTACTTTTACCACAGGCACAACTTGAAGACCCATTCTATGAGCAAACATCACATTTTGATTTGAACGCGTTTAATGATTATCTAAAAATTGTATTATACTCGAAACGTTTATAAAAATATGTTCTCCGTGTACAATTTATACTATACCTCCCAAATTGTGCATACTTAGTAATATCTGTATTCATGGGCGGAAATCCCATACAATTTCATAGGGGCTAATATTTCCAACGTCAACGTGAGCAGGGAGCTTCGATCTCACACAATTATAAAAATGTCTGTTTTTTTGGGTTAATGGGGGTGTTAAGATTTCCGCCTATGTAGGTATGTATTATGGAATTGTAAATAATATTATGTACTCTTATGAATCTACTCGTTAATAATATTGTTTGCGAATCATGTAATATACATAATACCATTTACGTATTATTTAATATTAATATTTAATTACATATACCTATCTCTAGTTATCAGGTATAGCAAGGTTGCTATCTCGTAGTATCATTAATAAAGAGTAAAGACTTATATGGTATATTAATATTGCTTCCGCAGCAGGCTAGTTTACTATATACACCTGTTTATTCCAATTATTAAACTAATTAGTTTCTTTGTAAACGCAATTTAGTATACTTGTCAAAAAAAAAGAGATTTACTATTAACCTACTGACTACTACTAAAGACTATAGATATAGGTAATAGGTACCTATGTTGCTATATAAATTAAGTGATCCCGATTGTTTGCTACCTAGATATTGTTAAGCATATATTTAAATATAGAGACTATAGGTATAATACGATATACCTATTTTAAACATATTTATTATATTTTGTACCTACTCTCGATTGCGATGCTTTTATTTATGTGACTTTAGTGTGCAGTCGCAGCTATTATTATATTATATTATGAAAATAGTTAGCGTTGCATGTGAGCTGCTGCGAACACACACACACACAAACACTTACATAATAACGGATCGAAACTGCGCGGTCCTGGTGCTAATCACTTGTATAATGTTTTCGTTTGTTTTTCTGTTGTCTTTTGTCTTCCCGCCGTCCGCCTTCAGGTGACCCATGCGCCAACCGCGGACGCTCCCTGCATTCGTCCATCAGAATCGAACACCACCTGCCCGTCATCCAGCGCTCGATGTACGCCTGCGCCCGGTGCGGTAACTCGTACGCACGACTCCACAGCCTCAGCCGGCACGTCCGTTTCGAGTGTGGCGTCGATCCGAAGTTCGAGTGTCCCATATGCCACAAAAAGTCCAAGCACAAACACAACTTGTTGTTGCACATGAAGACCCACCTCAAGTGAAACGATCCGTGAAAAAGAAACCACCTGCTGTTCTCTAGCTCCTACCTTCCACCACGTTTACTACATATTATATTTATAATAAATATAGGCACCTGCCTGCCCATTACATTATACGTATCGCATACGCGGTAGTAAATAATATTATATAGTAGCAACGTCGTGCGAAGGCTTTATGATTATTATTTGTCTCTAGTCAATATGTGTATAACATAATATGTATGTACTATTGCAACTCATTGTAAGGACAAATACATTTTCCTATGTAATATTATGATAGTGCATTAATTGTGTTTACAATAATATTGACTTTTATAGGTGCCTCCTTAAACTGTTTATAAACTTTTGTGACACTAATCAGATTTTCTTACAAGAAATCAACATTTGACTGTTTATTTTTTACGATGATTAAAAATAATTTTATATATTATTTGTTCATTTTTTATTTTTACTGTAATATTCAAATTCCTATTTACTAACAAATTTGGTTAAAATTGTGATATAATATTCAACTTAACATGTTTTTTGTTTGTAATATTTGTGAATGTATTATTTATACATCATACTTACTATCATTCAATTTCCAATTCCTCTCTATTTTGGAAATATAAATTTGTTTCTTATTTATAAAAATAATTCTTTCCTGTAAAATGTAATTGGTTCTAGAAATCAGTTCCTTTCCAACTTTGCGCTGCTATTATCAGATTGCTTTTAACCACACTACTATATATTATGAGGTCTATTATTAACATGTAGTAAAGTTGACAACCATTATTGCAATCATCTAGGCATATCGGACTACTTGGATGAAAAATTATTCATGAACCTCAGGCTGGACGAAAAGCATACATGCCCAGACTGTTTGGATACATTTGCCGATCGACTCTCCTTCGTGCACCACAGAAAAGAGGTGTGTGGTCTGGACCTCATGTATGAATGCATTAAATGCCATCGTCGGTTCAAATATAACCACAATCTAAAGGCTCACAGTGCTACGTGTTTGAAACAGAAAAAAAATACACCGGAAAAACCTACATGATACAAGAGATCTTTAATTTTACAGTTGTATATTAAATAATCATATAAATTTTTTTACAGGCATAACAATTTTTTTTCAAATTATTTATC